GGTGTGGGTGGTGGCGAAGAGTCGTGTGGATATTTGGTAGAGCTTGCACTGCCCCCCCACAAAGTGGGGGTATTGGCTGGCGTCGCATGAAAACCCTGGCACTGGTGAGAACACTGAGCGTTCGGGTAAAGTGATTGTTGTTGTTGTTGTTGTTGTTGTTGTTGTTGATGTTTCATTGTATTTTTGTAATTGAGGTGCGCATTGTATTTTTTGGTTGAGGTGCCCCTCCCAGCGCTCGCACCCGGGTTTTTATAAAGGGAAGTCTTCCTCCTCAAACTGCGTTGTTGGCCCCCGGGTTACAACAACAACGGCTTCCGCTGGAGACTTCCTCACAATTCAGCCAGGACCCCCGCTCCCGCCGGAGACGTCCTCACATTTTTTCAGGAATCGCACTCTCGCTTGGGACTTCCTTATAATTTATTTAGGAATCGTTTTGTCGGCGCTCTGGAGTCGCGCTTTCGCTGGAGACTTGCTTGCAATTTACTCAAGAATAGCGCCCTTGCGTTGGAATTCCCTACGCTTTCCGCGCTCCCGACACTCAGGCACCCAGGAGTCGCGCTCACGCTTAGGACACCCGCAACGATCATTAATGAATCGGAATCTGGCTGCCTTTCGTGGCCCCGTTGCAGCCCTTCGTGGCCCCATCGCTGCCCTACGTGGACCCGTTGCAGCCCCTCGTGACCCCCTCGCTGCCCTTCGTGGCCCCGTTGCAGCCTCTCGTGGCGCCCCCGCTGCCCTTCGTGGCCCCGTTGCAGCCCTTCGTGGTCACCTCGCTGTCCTTCGTGGCCCCATAAATGTATGCCCTTCGTGACCTCCGCTCGTTCGCGCCCGTCGTGGTTCCATATGCATGCCCTTCGTGGCCCCGCTGTCGCCCTTTGTGGCCCCCTTGCTGCCCTTCGTGGCCCCGTTGCTGCCCTCAGTGGCCCCGTCCTTGCCCTCCGCGGCCCAGTATACGTATGTCTTTCGTGGCCCCCGCTCGTTCGCGCCCGTCGTGGCTCCATGTGCATGCTTTTCGTGGCCCCGCTGTCGCCCTTCGTGGCCCTCTCGCTGCCCTGCGTGGCCCAGTTGCTACCCTCAGTGGCCCCGTCGTTCCATTCTGTGGCCCCGCATTATCTGCCCTTCGGGGCCCCCGCTCGCTCGCGCTCTTCGTGGCCCCATACGCATTCCCTTCGTGTCCCCGCTGTCGCCCTTCGTGGCCTACTTCGTGTCCTTCGTGGACCTGCTGTCGTTCTCTCTCTCGCTCTCGTTTTCGCTCGTCGTCGTCGTCGCCGGCGTCGTCGTCGACGTCGTCGGCGTCCCCCCCTCCGGTGCACATGGTATTTTTCAATTGAAGTGCCCTTCCCAGGGCTCGCACCCTGTTTTTTATCGGGGAAGCTCTTGAGGCTCAAACTGCGCCCCTGGCCCTTGGGTTACAACAACGCTCCCGCCTGAGACGTCTCGCATTTTATGCAGGCATCGCGCTCTCGCTTGGGATTTCCGAACAATTTATGCAGGGATCGCTTTCTCGGCGCTCTGGAGTCGCGCTCTCGTTGGAGACTTGCTTGACATCTACTCAAGAATAGCGCCCTTGCGTTGGAATTTCCCGCAATTTACTCAAGCGCCGCGCTCCCGACACTCAGGCACCCAGGAGTCGCGCTCACGCTTAAGACTCCCTTCGCATATTAGTAAGGAGTCGGGATCTCGCTGCCCTTCGTGGCCCCGTTGCAGCCCTTCGTGGCCCCATCGCTGCCCTTCGTGGCCCCGTTGCAGCCCTTCGTGGCCCCCTCGCTGCCCTTCGTGGCCCCGTTGCAGCCTCTCGTTGCCCCCTCGCTGCCCTTCGTGGCCCCGTTGCAGCCCTTCGTGGCCCCCTCGCTGCCCTTCGTGGCCCCGTTGCAGCCCTTCGTGGCCCCCTCGCTGCCCTTCGTGGACCCGTTGCAGCCTCTCGTTGCCCCCTCGCTGCCCTTCGTGGCTCCGTTGCAGTCATTCGTGGCCCCCTCGCTGCCTTTCGTGGCCCCGTTGTAGCCCTTCCTGGCCCCCTCGCTGCCGCTCGTGGCCTCGTTGCACCTCTTCGTGGCCCCCTCGCTGCCCTTCGTGCGTTGACTTTAGGCTCGGGGAGGCTCGGGTCAGGGAACCATAATCATGACAGAAGGGGACGCCCGCGCGCGCTCGCAGGGACTGCGCGCATCAGAGCGCGCAATTGGATCGTGCGAGCAAAGCGCGTTGGCGACAGCGGTTGCTGTTGGTTTGTTTCTTGCTTGTGTGCTGCTTGATGGCCGGGCAGCGCGGAGAGCTCTTCATCGAAGAGTTCTTAGATTGGAGGGTCGATTCCTCCGAGCGCGAGTCCCTTTCTGCGCTCGTGCAGAGAGAGGGACTGGAGTCGGCTGGCGATTTAGCGCATTTGTTTTGCTCGACGGACGAGGCGGAGCAGTGTGGAGTGCCCACGGCCTGGGCCGTGGCTCGGGACGTGGCGCGGGTGACGCCGTGGCTGGTGCCCGCGCATGGCATTTGCGCGGAGGGGCGATTTGGCGGCGCGGCGGCGGCCGCCGCGCCCGCCGTGAGCGCGGGGGCCGCGGCGGGGAAAGGGCGTGGGCCTACCGCCGCGCGCCGCGGTCGGCCGAGACGCTGTGCCGCAGTGGCGACGGAGGCGGCAGAGCGTGAGGGGCGCGTTCAGCTGGCGGTCAGCGCAGTTCGAGTGTCGCTTGAATGGCGCCCGGAAAGCGGCCTCGGGCAGGGGTTGCAGGAGGCGCAGGCCGAGATGCTCGCCGACGTCTCGTCCGCGGCGGTGTTTAGGCTGAGTAATTTCGAATCCGGGACGCTGCGCACGGCCTTGCGCGTGCGGGGGCAGTGGGCCGAGTGGGCGGGCCGGCAAGGGCAGCCGGCGACGAGTCTGGCGCGGCAACCCATGGCAGTCGCCGAGTTCGTGCATAAGCTCTCGATCGCACGGGCGTCCGGCGTCAGGATCTGGAACGCCTTGAAGTGGATGTGCGTACATTTGAAAGCGCCTTTCTGCCTGGACGATGCGTTTCGCCCTGTGCCACGTGATCCAGGCAGTGGAACCGTAGCACCGCCGGCCCAGGCCACTGTCGTCGAGTCGAACCCGAGATGATTTACCATGTGATCGATTTCCTGGATGGCGCGAGAACGCCTGGGCAAGTCATGCTCGCGGCTGGGATGCTGGCGGTGGTATTCGCGTGGGTGAGGTACACGCGCCTGCTGCGCTCTAGGCCTTTAGAGAAGTCTGTTTATTTTGCTGGTTCCGCGCATCGAGGGGGAAGCAGGGAAAGCGACAGGGGCGACCTTCGTTCGATTGGTGCTTGCCGAGGCGGCTAGGTGGCGCGCGGTCCGCCGCTGACGCCTTGTGGGATGGTTGGCACAAGTTGGCGGCGCGGGAAGATCGAGCAGGAAGGGCTGTGCCGACGGGGCTCGTCTTCGATCCAGTTTCCGGCGCGCCGGTGAAGTTGGGTGCCTTTAACCGATCGCTGAAGGAAGTATTCCGAGGCTCGCTAGCGGACGATTCCCAGTTGGATCTTGTGACTTCGTACAGTTTGCGCCGGGCTGGGCCTACATGGGCGAGCGCGATACAATTGGACTGGGAAGCCCGAGTCATCTCGGGCGGTTGGACGGAGGGGGGAGACAACTCCCGTCGGAACCAGATGCCGATCGTGTATAATGCGCGTCGGCGGCAAGCCGAGATGTGCACGCGCCTGCACATGGCCGGAGTGTTGTCGTGCCTGCGGACCGATCTGGAGGCCCCAGTGCAGTGGGGGCAAGTGCGATGCTGGGCGAGTTCTGCGCCAGGAAAAGTAATGTTGGCCGACCTAGAGAAAGAGGCGCAGCAGCGGGTGGCGGTGTCGACCGTTCGTGAGAAGGCCGCGTTCTTGCCCCCGTCGGTCGTCGAGGAGTTGAGGCGGCAGAAGTTTCTCCGGATAATCGTGGCCCCGCGTGGACAGCGGGTGGGGCGCGGTAAAGCGCCGGGCGCGCCTCCACCCAATTGTCGGGGTCCTGCCGACGGGGGCGCCGCGGGTAAGAGCGGTGAGGGGGGGGCGGGCGCCGAAGCGCCGGGCGCGCGTGCGCGCGCTGCGCAAACCCTCGCGTCGGGGGCACCGCGTGCAAAGCGGGGGGGGCGCGGTAAAGCGCCGGGCGGTTTGCGTGGGAACGCGTTGCCTGCGCCTGCGAGTCCACGCAGAGCGCCGAAAGTTGCCGGAAAAAAACAAGCGACCAGCAGAGGCGGGAGCGCGCGCCAGTCCGGCGTCGGTTGCCATTGCGGGCCGCGCAGGGCGAACCGCGGGTCGATCGCGCGGCCCAGCGGTATTGTGCCCGGGCGTGGGCGGCATTGGAGGCTGTCTCCATCCCCAGGTCCAGGGGAGATGAAGTGTCGGTGCGGCCGGGAGACGCAACCCGTGCAGGCCCGGCCGCGTTCCAAGCGCGGGGAGTTGACTGCGCCGGTCGCGCGGTGACCGCGCTTCCAGGTGACGAGGCAGCGCAGGGCGCGGAGTTGGGTGAATGTGACGTAAAGGGCTCAGATGGCGCGCCAGCGCACTGCGCGCCGCCAGTCAGGCAAGTTGCGGAGGGATCATCCGCGCGCGCGTCGCGAGCCGTGGGCCCGTCGCCCGAGCCGCGGGGCGCGATCGGGTACGTGCAGTCTGAGCCTGGGAGGGCTACCCGGGTAAGGGAGGTTATGGGGCCTCGATATCACGTCGCGATGCCCGTAATTCGTCGCCTCAAAAAGTCCAGAGCCTGGACGGGCAGTGAGTTCGGGCCAGTGACGAACCTATGTCAGAATGGATTGAGTGATCTGCAGTGGTTCCCGGCGCTCCCGGAGGGGTCCCTGGTGTGCGCGGCGTGTGAAAAGTTGCGCGGCCGGGCAGCCCCGGCGTGACGTCATCGCGGCGGAGACGCGCGGAGTTGCGCGTGGGCCTGCCAGCGAATGCCAACTTAACGGATGCGTATGCGCGCCCCGAGGTGGGCTCGAACGCGGTCCAGAGAGTAGGTTTAGCGGAGCGACACGTGTGGTTCTCGGTATGTCTTTGTCAGTTGACGGCATTGCGCTGCCGGGGCGCGTCGGCGCTCGCGACGCCGCTGCACAATTCAGAGAGCTGGCCGCGAAGTATCAGTTTGATGAGCGCATCGCCACCCACCTGGTCGAAACCGTGGGTCTAGAGACGTTGGTCGATTTCGCGCATGCCGTCACGAGCGAGAACGAGTGGGCGCCGATCCTCGAGCGCGTGCCGGATCTCGAGAGGAGGCTGGGACAGCTGTCCCGCGTGCGCCAGGCGCGGCCTTCGCCTGCGCGGGGGGGGGTCCTGCCTGGCCCGCGCCGCAGTTCGAGCGCGTAGTGCGGCAGGCGTGGAAAGCCGTGTGCGATGCCGCCCGGGAGTCCGAGACCCGGAAGAGGCGCGGTTTGGACGAGAGCGACGATGTCCCATTGCCGTCGCCGCAGCTCGCTGAATTGAGCGAGCAGTTCTTCGCTCGGTATAAGATGGCGTACCCAGCGGAGTGTGAGCCGTCCGAAGCGCTGGTCAGTAAGATCAGCAGGGAGCTGGGCAGGCGCGTCCCATTGCACGCGGAGGGGGTGACCGCGTCGCGCGCGCGGCCCCCCATGGTCGGCAGGCGCCAGGTGACGATGATGAGTGTATGGAAGGTCCGCACGTTGCTGAATGCCGCGAGGGCTGCCAGGAAGCGGCAGCGCATTGGGGATGTCGAATTCGTGTGCGACGAGAAGGAAGATCCGGATCCCGCGAAGGACTTGAAAACCTATATCGCGTTGCACCAGGTTCTCATGGTGGCATGCGCGCGCGCTGGGGTGAAGCCGATTGACCCGGCGCCCGGGACGCCAGAGAAGGCGTCTTCGGATACGACGGATTTCGTGCAGATTCCGTTGGATGTCGCGATGGCCTACCATTTCCGTTTGGTCAAGTACGCCAGTGCGATGCCGTTCTCGATTGCGCTGCCTAACGTCGTGCGTCGGGACGAGGAGGAGCGCGCTTGGTGGACGGACAGGGTCCGCACCAGCGAGCTGAGCGTCGGGAAGATAATCCGCGAGGGCTTGCAGACTCGCGAGGTCATGTGGAGCCCGCCCTCACCGCCAGCTCCCGGGCCGCAGCGGCCGCCGACGAGCGTCGGGCGGAGCCAGCGGACAGGTGGCAAGGGCGCGCAGTTGGGCGATCGGTTGAAAGACGGAACCCAGGTGTGTCGCAAGTTCAACGCCGGGGAGTGCTCCGAGCCGTGCCCTCGCGGGTATAAGCACGTCTGTTCCGTCGTGATCAACAAGACGGGGCGCTTGTGTGGCATGTCGAACCACTGCGCCCTCAAGTGCACCAGGAGCCCGGGTCTCAGTTTTTGGTTTCCCTGTTAGCTTAAAGGGGGCGGCCCGGGTCCGGGGGCGCCCTGGGTCCGGGAAAGGCGACGGTTAGCGCCGAATGTTCGGAACACCCGGCGTTGTAGTTTGCGACGCGAGGAACGCGAGCGGGGGCGCGGCCGACGGCGGCAAGCGCGGCCGCAAGGGCGATTGAAACGCACCCGCTGCCGCGCCGCCCGCCGCGGCAGAAGGGGCAGTCACCAGTGGGGTCGCGTGCCCCAGCGTCGTGGGCGTGCGATGGAGCCAGGCGGACATCGCTGTGAAAATTCGGAAGTCCTTTCCGGAAGAGTGGCTGGTGGGCGTTCCCATCCCGTTCTTGCAAGACTTGTTGAATACTTCGCCATTCGTTGATTTCGCCATCTGGGCGGAGCTGCAGGACGAAGGACTACCTCTGGGATGTTCTCTGGGCAGAAATTCCAAGGGGCGCGCGAGCGCCGTGTTGGGTCGCCAGGCAGGCGTGCTCGACCACAGGCTAGCGCTGGCGCCGGTTATCGAACTCGGCGTGGGGGAGCGGGCACACCTCGCTCAATGCATCGAATTCGCGAGCGCGGGGCGATTGCCATTCGACGATGAGTACATGGCACCCGTTGATTTGAAGTATGCTGCCTTTGCCACGGTTGCGTTCGCGTGGGCCGGTGGTAATCGGCTGAGGCAGTGGCGCGAGTCTTGCGCCGGGGCGTTGAAGGAGCTTAGTCAAAGGCTGGCGCCGGTGTCCCGCGCCCTTCGGCTCTGGCAAAGCCCCTCAGTACATGCCGTGGCGCAGAACACCCACATCGCGCTGATTTGTGTTCTGACTTGGGTGATGGGTTGGCCGGATTGGCAGCTGGCCCAGAGATTTGTGACCGGCTTCAATATCGTGGGGCGATTGGAGGAGACGGGTGTCTGGGAGCGGTGCGAAAGTTCGGAACCTGTTTCTGAAGACCGCTTGTTGGCGGAGTCCACCGCGCTTTTACGTTCCAGGGACAAGCGACGGGTTGATCCTGAGGCTGAGTTTCTTTGGGAATCATGCTTGAAGGAATGCGAGAAGGGCTGGGCTGCTCCTCCGGCGTCGCTGGCCGCGATGGACCGCGAGTACGGCGCCGGGCGCTGGGCGGCCGTGCCGTCGTTCGTGCACGTGCAGCAGAACGGCAAGCGTCGGCGGATAGACGATGCTAAAGCCGGTGGGCAGAACGGCGCGACGGTGTACCCTGAGAAGTGGCACTTGCCATCAGCGTTCACGCCTGCATTGTATGGCAAAGTCTTGAGGCAGCGGTCGGGAGGTACGCCAAACACCGGAGGTGGCCTTTTCCCCCTCCCCGCCGGCCGGTGTGTCGCGGGTTTCCCGCGGGCCGTTCCCCCGGGTCCGTTCGTGTGGGCCTAGTGGGCCCCTCCGGTGTCCAAGGGGCGTGGTCCGGCCCGGTGTTTGGCGTGCGCCCTCAGGCAGGAAGCTGCGGCGGGAGGCTTTGCCGATGAGGGCTTAACCCTTGAGACTGGAGGCGAGGACCTGCCAGACGCATGCAGGTCCGTGCCGGTCAATCCCGCGCAGCTACGTCATTGCGGCGCGGGAACCGCGCAGCGGGGAGTGGCGATACTTGACTGCATTCGCCATGCTGTTCGGCTTGTCGTCGAGTGTTATGAATTTCATGCGGTGGTCTGCCTTTCTGGAAGCCGCTGCCAGGCGCGTGGCGGCATTGTTGCACACAATGTATGTCGATGATGGCAGTCTTGGGGACCTCGGATTGGCGAAAGGCTCGGGACAGGCTTTACTCAACGTCTTGTTTTCGGAGTTGGGTACCCCGAATGCCAGCGCGAAGCAGCAGCGCATGGCCGCCACTGGGGCATTCCTGGGAGTCGATCACGACGTGTCTCGGGTTTTTGAAGGCAGAGGGGTGGTCTCCTTTTGGCCGAAGGCCAGCATGATTGACAAAATCAAAGGCCTGCTCGCGGAGCACCGTGCGCGGAACAGCCTGACACCAGCGGAGGCCTCGAAGCTCCGGGGCATTCTGCAGTGGTCGTCCTCCGCGATGTTCAACGGCGTCGGCAGCGCCGCGATGGCGCCGCTGAAGCAGAGGCAGTACACTGACGCGCCTCCGTGGGCGTTATCCCACGCGATTCGGCGGTGCTTCGATTACTTCGAATTTGTAATAGACCTTGCCCCGAAGAGAAGCGTCGACGTGAGCCCGCCCTCGTGTCCGCTGATTGTGATCGCAAGCGACGCGCGGGCTGACGGGGCGACCGCGCCCACAGGCGGCTACCTCCTGGTCGATTGCTTGACAGGGGAGCGTGTGGGAGGATGGTGTGTATTCGACGATGCCATACTCGCGGAGTGGGGTTTCTCGCCGGCGGACCGGGAGAGGGGCGCGAATCCGATCGCCCTCTGTGAGGGGGCCATGGTCCCCATTGTCCTGGCGCAAGAGGCGCGGAGGTGCCGAGGGAGGCGCATCCTGTGGGTGCTTGACAACACGAGCGCTCTCCACAGCTTCGTGAGTGGCAGGTGCGACCATGCTACCCTGGACCGGAGCGTCAAGCTTATGAATTTCTTCAAGGCGCGCGCCGCGAGGGCAAATCGCGGGGGGACGCGCCGTGCAGCGTGTCGCGCCAGTTTCACTGCGACATGTCCACCTGGCTCGAGTGGGTAGACTCGAAAAGCAACTGGTCGGACGGGATCTCACGGCGCGCCGTACGCGCGCGGGGGCGGCCTTCCCCCGAGTCGTCCACTCGCGCGGTGCCAGGCGGCTCGGCGAGGATAGCTTCGCCCGGGAGAATGGTTTTCGTACCGGCGAGGTGAGAGTGGACCCGGCCGCGTGGCGCGGGTGCTTACTAGACGCGTGGCGTTGGGTGCTACGGCGCGCGGAAGGCGCGTTCCGCGAGGGCAATTCGCGGGGGGTGGGCCGCGGCGTGCAGCGTGCCGCGCCAGGCTCAGTGGATTCGCCGTAAAGAAGGAGTCCGCGCAGGAGAGGTGAGCGCGGGCCCAGCCGCGGGGCACGGGCATGCCTCAGACACGGGGCGCCGTGTACATCGACGCGCGATTGCGGAGTGGCGTCGGACCCAGAACAGCGTTGGGGGTGCAGAAACGCGGAGCCAGAGCAGCGTTGGGGAGAGCGGCATTACTGGCGAGCCACGCCAGGGTCTTGCCTTCTTCACGCAGGTGTTCCATTCGGGGGGTTTGGTCACCCCAAGGTCGTTCTGCACCCCCGGAGCACCGTTGCACTTTCTGGGGTCGGGGGACGGGGTATGGGTTGGGGGAATGGGTGGGAGGATGGGGCCGTCGCGCGCCGTGTTCGCAGGTGGAGCGCGCGCGCGCGCGGAGGAGCGGGCCGCCCGCGTGCGCTTCGCGCCGCGGCGGGGCGCGTGCGATTCGCGGCGCGCGAAAGTTGCCAGGGGCCGCGCAGGGCGCGGCGCGGGGAATAGGCTGTCGGTGATTATGCGTTGACTTTAGGCTCGGGGAGGCTCGGGTCAGGGAACCATAATCATGACAGAAGGGGACGCCCGCGCGCGCTCGCAGGGACTGCGCGCATCAGAGCGCGCAATTGGATCGTGCGAGCAAAGCGCGTTGGCGACAGCGGTTGCTGTTGGTTTGTTTCCCACCCACCACACCCTGGGCCCCGGTGGGGTTACCGGGGAGAATTTGGGATGGGCGCCGGCGTGGACTTCGTCGTGCAAGAGGCGATGCGCACCGGCTGCGAGGGGTCCTGCCTCGGGTCGGCCGAACGTGTGCGTCGCAGGTGCGAGAACGCCGCGCAGGTCAGCGCGTGCGGGGAGGGGGCCTTCCTTCCCTGATGGCCGCTGGCAGCGGTCGCATCACCAGGTGTAACGTCTGACAGGTGCGCGACATGTTTTGCGCGCGCGAACACGCCCGCCGTATCCCGACCCCCGGCGGGGTGCTCGGGTCGGCGAGGGCGGCGCCGGACGCCGGCAGTGTTCGCTTTCCCCGAGGGGAGAGCGGCATTACTGGCGAGCCACGCCAGGGTCTTGCCTTCTTCACGCAGGTGTTCCATTCGGGGGGTTTGGTCACCCCAAGGTCGTTCTGCACCCCCGGAGCACCGTTGCACTTTCTGGGGTCGGGGGACGGGGTATGGGTTGGGGGAATGGGTGGGAGGATGGGGCCGTCGCGCGCCGTGTTCGCAGGTGGAGCGCGCGCGCGCGCGCGGAGGAGCGGGCCGCCCGCGTGCGCTTCGCGCCGCGGCGGGGCGCGTGCGAATCGCGGCGCGCGAAAGTTGCCAGGGGCCGCGCAGGGCGCGGCGCGGGGAATAGGCTGTCGGTGATTATGGCTCCGTTGCAGCCCTTCGTGGCCCCGATGCCCTTCGTGGCCCCGTTGCACCCATTCGTGGCCCCGTCGCTGCCCTTCGTGGCCCCGTTGCAGCCCCTCGTGACCCCCTCGCTGCCCTTCGTGGCCCCGTTGCAGCCCTTGTGGCCCCCTCGCTGCCCTTCGTGGCCCCGTTGCAGCCGCCCTCGCTGCCCTTCGTGGCCCCGTTGCAGCCCTTCGTGGCTCCCTCGCTGCCCTTTGTGGCCCCGTCTATGTATGCCCTTCGTGGCCCCCGTTCGTTCGTGCCCGTCGTGGCCCCATATGCATGCCCTTCGTGGCCCCGCTGTCGCCCTTTGTGGTCCCTCGCTGCGCTTCGTGGCCCCGTTGCTGCCCTCAGTGGCCCCGTCCTTGCCCTCCGCGGCCCAATATACGTATGCCTTTCGTGGCCCCCGCTCGTTCGCGCCCGTCGTGGCCCCATGCGCATGCCCTTCGTGGCCCCGCTGTCGCCTTTCGTAGCCCCCTCGCTGTCCTACGTGGCCCAGTTGCTGCCTTCAGTGGCCCCGCATTATCTGCCCTTGGTGGCCCCCGGTCGTTCGCGCCCTTCGTGGCACCATACGCATTCCCTTCGTGTCCCCGCTGTCGCCCTTCGTGGCCTACTTCGTGTCCTTCGTGGTCCTGCTGGTTCTCTATCTCGCTCTCGCTTTCCTTCGTCGTCGTCGTCGTCATCGTCGTCGTCGTCGTCGTCGTGGTCGGTCCCCTGTTCGTCAATCGAGGGGTCGGGTTGCCGCCGATCAGCGCTGTTGCTGGCCAGGCCGACGGTCCGCGGCCGCCCCGTCGCCTGCCGGGGCCCGTCTTGCAGGGAAGAAATTTGGGCTCAGGGTCAGCGACAGGGGGAGATAGGTTCAGAGGCGGACGCATCGACCCCAAATCGCCCACTCATCGGTGATAGGGGCCTGATAGCCCCAGAATGTCCAGGAGCGTGTGGGTTTGTTATGGGGAGCCTATCGCCGATCTGTGATAGGACTGTTCGAGTGTCATGGAACACGATCAGTGAAGAGGAGGCACGTTGCCAAATACTTTGCAGATGTCGGGACGTGTGCAAACCACGTTCCAAACATGCAAAAGCATACAGGTTTTCAACTTCCACAAAGCATGCAGGAACGCACGTTTGATTCCATGATAGGGCTGTTCGAGTGTCCACTGTCATGGTGCACCCTCGGTGGCACTCCTGGCAACGCCCTGCAGGGGCAGGGTGCCGCGCCGCGACCGCCCGTGCGGCCCGCGGGCGCAGGCCAGCGGCGGCTTCGGCGGCGGCTTCGGCGGCGCGCAGCCGCAGATGGCAGGCTCCCGGAAGGGTGGCCCCGCCATCTCGGTCGAGGAGGAGGATTTTGTACCGAGCGCGCCAGCGAGCTGTCAGAGGAGGAGGAGGAGCAGGAGGAGGAGGAGGAGGAGCAGGAGGAGGAGGAGGGGGAGGAGGAATCGTTGTACTGGGCGCAGGAACCGCATGCGAGTTCCGCCACTGGGACCTTCGGTGGAGCTCCCTATGGGGCCACGAAGCGCTGTGCTGGGCGCAGGAACCGCCTGCGAGTTCCGCCACTGGGACCTTCGGTGGAGCTCCCAGTGGCGCCACGAAACACTGCGCTGAGCGCAGGAACCGCATGCGAGTTCCGCTACTGGGACCTTTGGTGGAGCTCCCTATGGGGCCAAGAAGCGCTGCACTGGGCGCATGAACCGCATGCGAGCTGCGCCATTGGGACTTTCGATGGAATTCCCTATGGGGTCACGAAGCGCTGTACTGGGCGCAGGAACCACATGCGAGTTTCGCCACTGGAGCCTTCGGTGGAGCTCACTCTGGGGCCAAGACACACAACATTGGGCGCAGGAACCGCCTGCGAATTCCGCCTCTGGGACCTTCGGTGGAGCTCCCTATGAGGCCACGAATCGTTTTAATGGGCGCAGGAACCGTATGTGAGTTCCGCAACTGGGCCCTTTGGTGGAGCTCCCTGTGGGGCCACGAAGAGCTGTGCTGGGTGGGGGAAGCGCAAGCGAGCTGCGCCACCAGGACCGTCGTTGGAGGCCCATATGGGGCCACGAAGCGCTGTACTGGGCGAGGGAGACGCGTACGAACTGCGGAGGAGGGAGGAGGGAGGAGGGGGAGGAAACAAAAAGGAAGAGGGACGCGGGGCGCTACATTTTCAAAACGAGGACCAAACACCACAGGATGGTTGGGAAAAACGATTCGTTGTCGTGGTTTGGGACATCCCGCGGCCCTCTTACCTAGATTGTGCAGCGGGTGGATCTGGCGGCGGGATGGTCGCTCCAGGATGCTACTTACCTTGTGGGCCCCGATGGGCAGGCTTTGTCCCTTCTTCAGTTTCCACCGCAGTGGTTCATTTCCCTCCTTTGCTGCGACAGCATGAAGTCTCGTAGTCTGCAGGCCGCTGTCGCATTCAAGCTCGGCGAAAGTCCCCACCCCTACGGGCAAGCAGTGCTCGATCAGGGGATGTTGAGGATTCAGATCTGCCGAGTGCTTGGACGTGCGATGAATAAGCTCAACACTCGGGAAGTGTCGTGCGTGCGTGAGCTTTTGGGTTTATGTTTCGTTACTGCCACCCCTTTGTCCAAGTGGGGCTATAATCAGAGTGAGGGGCCGAACGGTCATGCATTGTCCCTGGGTGCGTTGCTGAAGTGAGTGTCCTTGGTGACGATTCTGCTTGTTGCGTTGTTGCGTTTTTGTTGTTTGTTGTCGTCGTCCCACCCGCGACCCACCCGCGACCCACCCCGCGATCCACCCCGCGACCCCACCCGCGACCCACCCCGCAACCCACCCGCGACCCAACCCGCGACCCACCCGCGACCAACCCCGCGACCCACCCGCAACCCACCTGCGACCCACCCGCGACCAACCCCGCGACCCCCCCGCGACCCCATCCGCGACCCACCCGCGACCCAACGGCGACCCACTTGCGACCCACCTGCGACCCACCCCGCGACCCACCCGCGATCCACCCGCGACCCACCAGCGACCCAACAGCGACCCACCCTCGACCCACCCGCGACCCAGCCGCGACGCATTTGCGACCCACCCGCGACCTAACCACATTGTTTGACGAAAAATCAGCGCCTGCGGCGGGCTCGTTGTATAATGTATGAAACTTTGGCACCTGCGGCGGGCTTCTCCATAGTCTCGCAGACTGCCGACGCCCCCACCGCCCCCTCACTTTTATTTGCATCTGCGGGGTGTTACGTATTTCCCAAGCGTGCCCGCTTTGCAATAATGGTATTTTAGACACTCGTGTCCACCGTCTTTGGGAGTACCCGGTACCCGCGTCGTGCTCCCTTCCAAGGCTACGAGTTAGGGAAACTCGTTGAGCGTGAGGTTGCTGCTGGCCCCGCGCACCCGCTCTATGCTCATGTGTGGGTTGCTGCACCTTGCGTCGACCCCCCAGTGGTCGATTTTGAGTTTGTGTACACGGATGCGCTGGGGCCTTTACAAGTTTCAATTTGACCCCAGCCAGCCCACCCTTGTTGATGGCCCGTGCCTTAGCTTTGGGATGGAGAGGCTGGAGCGAGGAGGCTTAGCGGCATGCCAGACAGACGACGCTGATCGTTTCTTGCGCGCTTGTATTGGTCCCCTCAGCCGCGGATCCTGCCCCAGCATGCTGTCCACTGTGAATACTCCGGGCTTGTCATGACAGGCGTGGGCTGCACTGCCCTTTTCCGCTGGATCACGCAGCCGGCTTGCAGCTCGAAGCGCACCGCGTTCTTCAGCCACTGCTGGAGGGTGCCGGCCCGAGCCACGCTTGGGCCCTGGATTCCTCTACCCGTGTCAGAGCTCATTGTTCAAGCTTCGCGCGGCCCGCTTAGCTTCGACCGGAAGAGGTGCGCCCTCGACCCGCGAATCAAAGAAGTCAGAGCTCACCATAGTCTGGACGACGCGATCATCTCGGAACAGGACCGCGCCGTTATCCTCGGCAGTAGAATGGCCGAGACTCCGGCCGAAGAGGCCGCGGGCAAGCACGAGCACGACCTTGATCCCACCCCCCGCTCCAGCACCACGCTGGCTTCGGAAGAGTTTCTGGAGCCTGGTGATGGGAGGGTGCCTGCTGGTTGGCCCTCTGCACGTGATTGCTTTGGCCCCTTGTCCAGGCTCCCTCCGGTCCCTCCTCTCCGCCCCTTCGTCTCCTCCGACATCCCCTCCTGGACAGGCAAGGTCTATCCTTGCACGACGTGTTTTAATCGCATCGCCCCCCGCTGCAGGAGGCAGTGCTCTCATGAGTACCCTCAGCCCCTCGCAGATGCAATCAATCAGCGACGGGCCCTTCACCATTCCCTAGATATGGGGTGGAGTGACGTGATTGGCATGCCCCTTATGAACTGCACTCTCCGTGGAGGTTACAGCACGGGGAGGGGCACTGAGCTCCTCCAGCCATGCTCCAGTGAAACCCACCGCCTGCATCAGACTGCGAGGGGCTCTTTGGCACCGGGCCACCCCCCAGGTCAGCAGTGAGCTCCGGAAGCTCCAGCGGGGGGTAGTGCCTGTGACCATTCTCGCTGTCTCCAGAGTCGCCCATCGGGGGTGAATCGTAACGGTCTGGACGTTCAGACCGTTACGCCCAGCTCGTCCCGCAGTGCATGCCTTGATTGGGACAACGTCCTGCCTGGTTGGCTGGGTTGATGTGGACCCAGCCCCCTTGGAACTGTTTTGGTGTGGGGGTTAAATTTGTTGGTCAGACTTTTCGGTGCTGGGCCACATTCTTGTCAGGCGCGCGTTTGCTGTGCTCGCACGGCCGCGCTTTCTAGTGTTACGAGTGGTACTAGGAGGAGGGGGAGGAGGAGGAGGAGGAGGAGGAGGAGGAGGAGCAGCAGGAGTAGGAGAAGAAGGAAGTGGAGGAGGAGGAGGCGGAGGAGGAGGAGGGGGAGAATGCGGAGGAGGAGGAGAAGGAGGAGGAGGCCTCCGTCCCTCCATCCCTTCTTCCTCCCTCCTTCCCTTCCTTTTTCCCTCCTCCATGCTTCGAGCTTCGAGGTGCGGGTGGTTTTGCTGGTGGCAGTTGGCGCCCCCACACCCTCTTCGCCTCCTCGTCCTCACGGGGATGAGTGCACAGGGCAGGAAAGCAGCTCTTACAATCTCGGGCAGCAGGTCCTCCCCCCCCCCTCCTCCTCCTCCTCCTCCTCCTCCTCCTCCTCCTCCTCCTCCTCCTCCTCCTCCTCCTCCTCCTCCTCCTCCTCCTCCCCCCTCCTCCTCTTTCTCCATCTCCTGGACAAAAATAGAATATGAATACTACTCTTCAATCTCCCCTGATGACGTCTGGGCGATATCCGGCCCCCCTCCGCGTATTGTTTTTTACAGGATTCCCGGGAAATTGGTTTTAGGTTTTTTTTGGTTCTTCAAGATGTTGTTCCCGCTGCAATGTTGGCCCGATTTCTGCGCCTTTGGTCGTTCCAAAACGTGTTCCCGCTGCAGCGCGGGTGTTATCGGTCCTTCCAAGAAGGCCCCAAATAAACAAAATAACACATGGAAAACAAATCGCAAACAATTCCACATCCATTGCCAATTCGTTCTGCTTTGGGGCCGCAGGAGGCCCCCCTCCCCACTTCGGGGTGGCGTCGTTTGGGGGAAGTATCAAGTGGGAGCCCCGTTTCTTTTTTCAGAAGGCGATGTTGCAAGCAGAGACGGAGGCTGCTCTCCATCAGCCCCGCCTTGTGGGGAGCTTTCGGGGAACCCCGGGAGCTAAGCATGGAGCCGCGACTCCAGACCAGCCCAGACCCTTCGAAGACGGTCCACTTACCCTCCAAGGAACCTGGTGACATGCCATGACATGCTGTGCAGTGTTCTGTTTTGCGCCGCTGTGCGATACCATGCTTTGCGTTGCAAGGCTTCACTAAGCAATGCCACGCCATGCTATGACATGATACGCTCTGCAGTGCTCTTCTACGCCATGCCATGCCGTGCTCTGCGATGCATTGCGCACCCTCTCGAAATAATTGCCTTGCTCGACATCCGACTGTGCGGGTAGACAGGAGATCTATGCCATGGTAAGGGACGGAAGGGAGGGGTAGGACGTCAGATATGACGCGAGCGCACCTAGCTTGTCTCTTCCCCCTCCTCCTACCCCCAACCTCCCTAATCGACAGGGGATCGTTCATCTTTCGATTCTTTCTGTCTCTTGTTGTGAGCATGATTGGTTTTAGACGTGCGGCGGTGAGTCCCTCCAGGAACGCATCGCGACAGTCACGGACACTGATCTCAGCGAAGACGCCTGGTGCAACAAATAATATGTTTGACGTAAGGTCCGCGAAGAAGCGCTACAAGAATCGAGTGGAATCGCGGAGGCTCTTCGAAACCTGCCAGAACACAGCCGACATTCAAACTGATATCAGCACATGTGCGAGGACGTGTCAGGCGAAACCACTGTGCTTGCGCTCGGTTCACACAGAAACGCAGAGGAGATTTCAAGGAAACCGCGGAACGTCCTGAAGCCGCCGGAAACCGCTCCAGAAACCGTTAGTTTGTGAGGAAGGCCCAGGCGCAAACCGCATTCTTGGCCATAGGTTGGAGTCCGGCCATAGTTCTAAATTAGAGGTTGGGGGTTCACCGCCCTGGTCAGGAACTCGCGGCTCCCCGCCCGCCAGGCCGATACGGAGCCTTATGCTTGCCCGCATCGCCCCGCGCCATTTCCGGCCTTGAAGCAAATATCGAGAAGATACTCGTTCCGATAAGATGCTCTCCTGGAGCATTGGGAATTGTTGTTCGGGCTACAGCATCGCAAGGCACAGGTTCTTCACGATAAAGTGGTTCGCGCGCGCGTGACGTCCCGCACCGCGCATCCCTGCGAATATTGCCCAGAGATGACAAACAAGCCACATTCGTTCGTGATGCCACGGCCTCGGGCCATTTGCGGGGCTTCGTTGAGCGCGGCGTCACTTTTAACTCCCACGCAAGAGATACGGGTTGCGATTCGGACATGAAATGCATTGCTAACAAAAGTGCGTTCGATGCCGAGCTCCCCACTGGGCTCGGTGACATGACCGCGACTTGGTACTACAGGCTTCAAGGTCAACGTGTGGGGGTAATGCGGTTTCTGAAGGTGGCAGTTGCTTTGGTTGCCTGAGTACCTTGTGCTTGCCTTCTCGGCACTGACGGTTCTCCCCCTCTCCGTTACCCACCTCTCTCTCGATTGTTTTTTAGTCTTAACCCAGAACACGCCCCCACCCCCGGCTACAACGGGGGTGAGGCAGTCTTGTCGAATGGGTGCCGCGATTGGGGGTGGGATTTGGGATAACGGTCCAGGCTCGAGCGCCAGCCTCGCAGGCCGCCAAAATCTCACACCCACCCCCAGCCCCAGCACCTCGCCTGCCAGGGATACCCGCGGGTGCCGCAGTCGGGGGTGGGAGCGTCATCTTGGTTTATCATATGGGATGTGGTGATAACCTGGGTTATCGGGCCCGCCGGCCCCCCCCCCTCTCCTGGATGGCCTGACTTTGTCCGCTGTGCAGGTCCGAAGGGGGTACGCAGTGTTGGTGCACGCGGGCATAGGCGGGGCTGCCCAAAGCGAGGGGTCATCGGCGAATGAAAAACGATCTCCTCCTCTCTCCCTCTCCCGCCCTCCCCCTGTGGGCGAACGAGAACCCTGACATCAGCCCACGACGTCAGCGTGGCCCTGGACGCGGCAGCACGCCGTCGACACTGGAGCTCGTAACACGCCGCATCGAGTCCCCTCGGACAGACGAGGCACAGCTTTCTCTCTCTCTCTCTCTCTCTTTTATCCCTCTCGACCTCTCTACCTTCTCCTCCTCCTATGCATGCAGCTCCCTTTGTTATTCCGCCTGCGCATGGTATGACGGGGTCTGTTTTGGAGCTCCAGGTCGGCTGCGCCACGCGTCCGTGGATCGAGAAACGATCAGCGCAGTGGGAAGGGATGGGAGGGAGAGATGGGATGTCAGAAATGGCGCGAGCGCCACTAGCTTGACCTTCTTCTCTCTCTCTCTCTCTCTCTCTTTCTCTCTCTCCCCCCCTGGCCCGCGGGTCGGCCTTCGCGCGCGTTCGCCGGCGGGGAGGGGGTTCGCCGCAGGCGCGGTCGCGCCGCAGGCAGAGGCGCAGCAGGCGTGCCTCGAGGTGCAGAGGCGCATGGAGGAGGGGGCCCCGCCATCCCCCCCCCCCCTCACGAGGAGGAGGAGGAGGAGGAGGAGGAGGAGGAGGAGGAGGAGGAGGAGGAGGAGGAGGAGGAGGAGGAGGAGGAGGAGGAGGAGGAGGAAAAAGGAAGGAGGAGGAGGAGGAGGAGGAGGAGGAGGAGGATTTTCTTTGGTTTGGTCCACGATCGAACGAGGCACAAACACAGGTCCCGCGCCCGCTTGACCTGCGGGCGGACGGCGGGCCGAGGAGGAAGCAGCATCCTGCGCGCAAACAGGCGGGGACCCCGCGGACCAGGGCCTGCTCCCGGAGGCCTCTGGGGACTCCGGACACCACTGGGCACACGGCGCACCGCAGAACGGGCCGAGGCCAGGCCCACAACATCCGAGGAGGAGGAGGAGGAGGAGGAGGAGGAGGAGGAGGAGGAGGAAGAGGAGGAGGAGGAGGAGGAGGAGGAGGAGGAGGAGGAGGAGGAGGAGGAGGAGGAGGAGGTGGGGGAGGAGGAGGTGGAGGCGGAGGAGGATGAGAGCGCCATAGAGCGAGGCGCGGTGGAACCGCGGCCCGCCCCGAGCGCGCGGCCGCCCCCGCGACCGTGCCAGGCCGTCAGGCCTTGATGCCCAGCGCAACCAGCGCCCCCGCCAGCACGCCAGGCCTCCGCAGTCCCTTCAGCGACCAGAGCCGCCGCCGCCGCTGGAGGACCCCGCGTGGCTGAGGCCGTCGCCACCACGGGGGCAGTCGCCGTGCCGGCGCCGCCGCCAGCCGCACGCCGCGTCAGCTGCCTTCCAGCGGGCGCATGGCCACGGCCAGCTTCGCGGCGCCAGGCGAGAGCCGCTTCTCCAGCCTCGTGCGAAAGGATAGTCCAAGACGCTCCCAAGCAGCCCAAATCAGCCTTTCGACGGCTCTCGAGGCTCCCAGGTGACCCCCAAGAGACCCCAAGAGAGGTCTGAGAGGCGTTCCGGGACGGCCCGAACAAGCCAACATCGTAGATTTTCAGTATTTTTTCCAATGTTCCTGGCTTATCGCGTTTCTGAGCTTCCAACAGTCCAAGAGCGTCGAAGAGGCTCCCAAGATCGCTCCAAGACCACCCAAGAGACCCTCAGGACGGCCCCAAGACTGGCCAAGAAGGCTCCAAGACTACCGAAGAGGCGCCCAGGACAGCCTCCGACTACCCCAGAACAGGCCCAAGATGGGCCCAAGAGCGGGAGCAGGAGGCTTCCAGAGACCTCCGAGAGGCCTCCGGGACCACCCAGAGGCCCCCAACACCCCACCCTCCCTGAGAGGCCCCAAAAGACCCCGTCGAGGCTCCAAGAACAGCCCAACAGAGCTGCGAGAGCCGTCCCGAGAGAGCCCAAAGAGGGTAACATCGTTGATATCCCATGGTTTTTCTAATGTTTTTCGCCTCTTCACGTTTTCCCGCTTCCAACCCTCGAAGATCGAGGATTTTGGAAAAAAGGAAATTCCCAGAATTCCATTTTTTTTCAAAGTGGGACTCCTACTCGGGGGTCCTACACATCCCCTGTCATCTGGCCGGTACCGCGCCTCCCGGCTTCCCGGGGGGAGACCCCAAGACGCCGAAGGACAGCCCACGACGACTCCAAGGAGCCCCCAGAACGTAAAGAACTGCCCAACACGCTCTGGCGCAGCCCGAGGCACCCTTCCGACGGCTCTCGAGGCTTCCAGGAGGCCTCCAGAACCCCCAGGGCGTACAGAAGATCCCACACCCCTGAGGGGCCCAGCTAACAAAACCCGCGAGGGACAAACACAAAACAGCGCCGAACAGCGCCGTGGAACTGGATCTTTGTTTGTTTGTTCGTTTCTCCAAGTTTGTCCCCCGGTCTAGTCTTGCAGAACAGACCACAATTCAGATCCCCCTCATCTCCCGAAAAAGAACCCAGGAAGCCTTTGAGGGCCCCCAAATCGTTGAACATCTAAAAGAAATTCGTGATATCCACGTTTCCGCACTTCCTCTTCTATACGATTCGGAGGCTTGCGCAGGGTCTCCAAGAGAGTCCCTGGACTCAAGAAGCGACCAAGATGATATTACATGAGTTTGCCTATCAAACCTAGCTAGAAATTGATCGCGCGCGAAGCGCGCGCGATGGTTCTAGTCTATACATATGTATGTATACCGGCATGACCGGTAACGAAGCAGACCGCTAATATTTAGGTCGTTCAGGAGAAGAAGCAAGCCTTTGGAGTGGAGTGAGCGACCACTTCGAGCAACGGGGCCCCGCCGAGTGAGTTTTTCTGCGCGCGCCCTCCTAGCTGACCCAGGAGGAAGCTGACCTCGGCGGCGAGCGATTGGGGGGGAAGTGAGTGAGAAGGAACAGGCCTTCTCAGAAGGCGGCGGGACTTCTCAGAAGCCTTCGCGCCTCCGAGTCTCCCGAAAAAGGCGTTGTCCTTTTGACTCCTCCCCCGGGCTCGCCGCCGATGCCCGCCCACGCCGATGACCCGAGTCTGCCCCTCCTATTCTTCGCAGACCGCCGCCCGCGCGGACGACGCGCGGCGGCGCCTCGGCCAGGGGCGGGCCAGGCAGGGGGTCGCAGGGCGAGGAGAAGACGACGACGCCAGACGGCCGACGAGGACGCCTCCACCTCCTCCTCCCCCTCCTCCTCCTCCTCCTCTTCCTCCTCTTCTTTTTCCTCCCCCTCCTTTTTTTCCTCCTCCTCCTTCTCGTTCTCCTCCTCCTCCTCCTCCCCCTCCTCCCCCTCCTCCCTCCCGCCTTCTCCACCTCCTCCTTCTCTTCTGCCGCCTCCTCAAAGAAGGCCCAGGGGCACCCGAGTGGGGGGGGGCCCAACCCCGTCGCCAAGGGGGGTCCCTGGGCGTTGGGCTTATGGTCCCGGGTCCCTAGTTGCGGAAAACGCCACCTATTGGACACAGCCTCTTGGAGGATTGGCCCCGTGGCGATCCGCCTCTTCCTCCCTCCATTCTTGCCCCTCCTTTCCCGTGCCTTCCTGCTTCCCCCACCTCTCCCCTCCCCCGTTTCTGCACGACGGGGGCCGCGGCCCCCCTCCCTCCGCCACGCCACCCTGGAGGCCTACAGGGGCAGAGCAGATGGCAAGGCGTCCGAAGATCCCTCGGCCCTCGAGCCTCCACCTTTCCTCCCACCCCTTCCCGCCTCTCCTCGAACCTCGATCCCCCCTTCCTCACCCCTCCTGCGCCACCACCGACTGCGTCGGAACTTAACTTGTCTGCGTGGCCGGTGGAGACACGCTGGCCCAGTGCAGTAGCTCAGTAGCTCCTCCTCCCCTTCCTCTTCCCCCCGCCACAGGACACAGACCGACCCATCCCCGCGAGGCCCCCAAGTGGCCCAGCGATGAGCAGAAGCAGTCCTGTTGACAGACGCTGAGATCGCCACGCCCCCTCCCCCGGGTCGGGGAAGGGAGCTGCGGGGGCCCGTCGCGCGCGCGCGCAGGAGCTGCACCCCGTGCTCCAGCGGGCGTCGGGCCAGGGGCGCGCCCCTCGCGCCACCCTGCCTGCCTCCCCCTGCCCCTCCCTCCTCCCTCCTTTTCCTTTCCCTCTCTTCCTCCTCTTTCCCTTCCTCCTCCTCCTCCTCCTTTTCCGATCTTTTCTCACATTTTCCTTTTGCTCCTCCTCCTCCTCCTCCTCCTCCCCTCCTCCCTCCCCTCCTCCCCCCTCCCTCTCTCTTCCCTCCCTTCCCCCCTTCCTCTCTCTTCCCTCCCTCCCTCCCCCCTCCCTCCTCCTTTCTTTTCCTTTCCTCCCCCCCCAACCCTCCTCCCTCCCCAACCCTCCTTCTTCCCGCTTCTCCCCCATTCCCGCCCCCTTCCCTGCCTCTTTTGCCTTTGCCCTCCTCCCTCCCTTGAGGCGTGCTCACGGTTTCGGCCGCGACTGCTTGATCTGCGGGATATTCTTTTCTTCTCCGCCGGCCGTCATCGCCTCTCTTTCCTCTCCGCCCCTCCGTCCTCCCTTTCGCCACGCCGAGCTCGATTGGATGTCTTTCGATGGATGGGGGGGTGCGGGCACGTCTGCGTCTCCAGGCATGTTATATAGTCAAGCGCGTATCGGTGCAAAAGTGGTACCCGCTTCTGCTTCGATCGCCCTCCCTCTTCCCCCCGTCCACCACGTACGCACGCACGCACGCATGCACTGACACACACACACACACATACACACTTGCACGCACGCACACACGCACGCCCGCACGCACGCACACGCGCACACGCACACACGCACACACGCCCACACGCCCACGCGCCCACGCCCACGCGCGCCCGTGCGCCCGCGCGCCCGCGCGCCCGCGCGCCCGCGCGCCAGCGCGCCAGCGCGCCCGCGCCCGCGCGCGCGCGCACGCGCACGCGCACGCGCACGCGCACGCGCAGGCGCACGCCCAGGCGCACGCGCACGCGCACGCGCACGCGAACGCACGCACTCACGCACGCACGCGCGCGCGAACGCACGCACGCACGCACGCACGCGCGCGCACGTTCGCACGCACGCACGTACGCACGCCCGCCCGCCCGCCGGCCCGCCCGCGCGCGCGCACGCACGCACAGAGGCACGCGCGCACGCGTTGACACACACACACACACACGCACGCACGCACGCACGCACGCACGCACACATACACACACACGCACACGCGCACACACACACGCGCACACACGCACACGCACACACACACACAGCGGCACACACACAAACGCACACATCCACGCACACATGCACGCACGCACGCACGCACGTGCGCACGTATGCACACACACACACCCACCTACACACCCACCACACCCACACATCCACACACCCACACCCACACACCCACACATCCACATATACCCACACCCACACCCGTACCCACATCCACGCCCACGCCCACGCCCATTCCCACGCACGTACGCCCACGCACACGCCCACGCACGCGCACACGCACACACACACACACGCACACACTCACACACGCACGCACGCACGCACGCGCGCACGCACGCACACAAACACACACACACACACGCACACGCACACGCACTCGACCACATGCACGCGCGCACGCACGCACGCGCGCGCGTTCGCATGGACACGCACAGGCACACGCACACACGCACACACGCACACCCGCACACACAATCACACTGACACATACGCACGCTCGCACGCACGCACGCACACTCACACGCGCACCCGCACACACACACGCACACACACACACACGCACGCACGCACACTCACACACACGCACACGCCCACACACATGCACGCACGCACACGCACGCGCACGCACGCACGCTCGCACGCACGCGCTCACACGCACGCACGCTCGCTCGCACGCACGCGCGCACGCACGCACGCACGGCACACACAACACACAAGACACAACACACCACACACACCACACTCACAACACACACACAACGCACAACACACAACACACACAACACACAGCACACAACACACAACACACACACACCACACACACCACACACAACACAAACACACACACACACACCCCACACAACACACTCCACACAACACACTCCACACAACACACACAATACACACTCCACACAACACACAGCACACACAGCACACAACACACAATCCACAACACACACAACACACACACCAACCACAACACACACACAACACGCAACACCCACAGACGCACACACAACACACACAGAACACACGCAACATTCAACACAACACACAACACACAACACACACACACCAACACCCAACACACAACACACGCACATCAACGCACCAACACACCAACACACCAACACACAACAAAACACCACACCAACACACCACCACAGCAACACACCAACACACCAACAGACACACACACCACCCACACAACGCACACACATATCACACACCAACGCACCAACACACCAACACGCCAACACACCAACGCACCAACACACCAACGGACCAACACATGAACATACAAACACCAGCACACCAACACACCAAAACACCAATACACACAACACACCAACTCACCAACGCACCAACACACCAACACACCAACAAACCAACACACCAACACACCAGCACACCAATTCACCAACACACCAACTCGCCAACACACCAACGCACCAACACATCAACACACCAACATACCAACACACCAGCACACCAACACACCAAGACACCAATACACACCACACCATCTCACCAACACACCACCACACCAACAAACCAACACACCAAGACACCACTACACCAACACACCAACACACCAACACACCAACACACCAACACACCAACACACCAACCCACCAACACATCAATACACCAACACACCAACACACCAGCACATCAACGCACCAACGCACCACCTTACCAACACACCACCTTGCCAACACACCAACACACCACGCACACACATACTAACACATGCACAACCACACACACACTAATGCAAACACACCACAAGCCCAAACACACACACACATAAACGCACACACCAACACACCCAACACACCATCACACCAACACACCAACACACCAACACACCAACAGCACACCAACACACCAACACACCAACACACCAACACACCAACACACCAACACACCAACACATCAACGCACCAACACACCACCACACCAACACACCAACACACCAACACACCAACGCACCAACGCACCACCACACCAACACACCAACGCACCAGAGCACCAGCGCACCAACACACCAACGCACCAACGCACCAACGCACCAATGCACAAACGCACCAACGCACACGCATACGCACACTTTCGCACACGCACATATACACGGTGTTTTCTGCGTCGCGGCCGCGCGGGCAGCGACAGGGCAGCAATCGCGCGCGCGCGTCTAGAAGCGCCCGAGCTCTCACAGACCGCTTAAGGTCCCACAGCAGTCACCTGCCAGAAGTCATCCGTGCGTGTATGACGACGGGAGCGGAGGAAGAACGAGGCTGCGGTGCGGTGGAGGAGCCATAAACCAGCCATCTGGGACTGCTTGGCGGGGGGAGCGAGTAAGTAGCGTGGAGCGACACGGACGCCAAGACCGACCCAAAGCCCAACGGACAATGAGGTCACGTGCCTACGGGACGCGGGTGCCAAGAGCGGCAGGAGCCCGCAATACACACATACACATACACACATGCACATGCACACATACACGCATATGCACATACACACACACACGCAAGCACAAGCATAAACACAAGCACAAACACACGCACACATAAACGCAAACACCAACACAAGCATAACTATAAACACAAAAACAAACGCAACTACAAACACAACCACGAACACAACCACAAACACAAACACAACCACAAAGACAACCACATACATCAACACAAACACAACCACACACATACGCAGACACACAAACGCACACACACACACCACACAACACACAACACACACAAACACACAAAGACACACGCAAACACACAGACACACACTGACACACACACACACACACAGACACACTGTTTGGCGTCGCGTCCCTGGGCGCCGCGACGGGGCGTAGAAGGTTGGACAACAGCGAGTCACGCGCGCGCCCCAACGGACCACTTAGGGCCCCGCAGCCGCCGGCAGCCATAACCAGCCTTCCACGATGAAGGGCCGCAAGGCGTGCATAGGGACACGCACACACAAACACACGCACACACAAACACACACACAAGCACGCACGCACGCACGCGAACGCGCACGCGCACGCGCACGCGCACACGCACACGCACACGCACACGCACACGCACACGCACGCGCACGCGCACACACGCACACACGCACATACGCACACGCACACGCACACGTACACGTACACGCTCACGCACACGCACACGTACTCGCACACGCACACGCACACGCACACGCACACGCACACGCACACGCGCACGCGCACGCGCAAGCGCATGCGCACGCGCACGCGCACGCGCACGCGCACGCGCACGCGCACGCGCACGCGCACGCGCACGCGCACGCGCACGCACACGCACACGCACACGCACGCACACGCACACGCACACGCACAACACGCGCACACGCACGCCCGCACGCACGCACGCGCACGCACACAAGCACACACGCACACACGCACACACGCATACACACACACGCACGCACACACGCACACGCACACACGCACACACGCACACATGGTCACACGCAAACACGCGCACACGCGCACACGCGCACACGCGCACGCGCACACGCACACGCACACGCACACGCACACGCACACGCACACGCACACGCGCACGCACGCGCACACGCACACGCACACGCACCCGCACACGCGCACACGCGCCCACACACACACACGGACACGCACACGCACACGCACACGCACACACAGACACGCACACGCATACGCACACGCGCCCACACATACACACATGTACACATACACGCATACACACGTCCACACACACATCCACACTTACGCACATACACACATACACACAAACGCACATACACACATACACATACACACTTTAACA